TCGCGCATCTCCGCGGCCGCGACGGCCTGCGCGCGCGCGGCGGCCAGCTAGTCTGGCGCCGCCGACGCAGCCGCGGTGGCGCTGACCGCTGGCCGCATCCCAGCGGGCACTTCAGTGCGAGTCGGCGACTTGGGTGGGCGCGGTATCGTGGCGACGTCGACAGCGGTGGTCGCGGTGATGATGGTAGCGACGCTGGTGGCGATGCTGGCAGCGACGACGGCGCGGCCAGTGACGGCGCGGATGTTGATCGCGCCGGCGGCGAGGACGGCGACTTCGCGGCGGCGATGAAGGTTTGGGAAGGAATTCGAAATACGCGCGCGGTCGACGCGCGAGAGTGGGCCGCCCGGTGTTTTCTGACGCGGATCGCGCCCCCCCCCCCCCTCCCCAGCGCGCGCGACGGCGCCCGAGTGATTTTGGCGCGCGGCGCCGGAGGCCATTGGTAATATTTTCTGGACTTCTTGAAACAAACCTGTGGTTTTCTTAAGGGGTCGCCAGGGCGCGAGCGCGCGCTTTTTCGAGCGCGGGCGTCGCGCAACCATTGTTCTGTTTGACGCTCGGTTTTGACATCCGATCGACACCTGCACTTTTTTGGAGAGATATCGGCGTGCGCGCGCGGCGGCGCGCGCGTGCCGTCCGTCATGTTTTTGCAATGGGTTCTCGCGACGGCGCGCTCGCAAGGGCGTTCGAACGATTTCCACGGGCGCGCGCGCGAGTCTCGTTTGGTAGTATTTTCTGAAAAGGTTGAAAAACTGGTGTCATAAGAATTCGCGAGAGCGCGTTTGTCTGTTTTTGTTTTCTGTTTGTAATGATAATAGTAAACGAGTTCCCCAATGGCATTTTTATTTTTATTTGGGCACTCGATTTGGAAATCCCCACGAAAACGTGCTTCGTTGTAGTTGTTGTTTCGTGTGTGTGAGGATTTTGGCGTGCGTGCGCGACGGCGCGCGCGTGCACTTCGTTTAGTTTTTTGTTGGTTGTTTTTTTTAGGGTGTTTTTGGTTGTTTGTTGTTTTCCTTGGGTTGGTTTGTTTTTGGTGGTCGACAATGTTTGGGCGCTGATGGTTTTGATGGGCGACTGCGCGCATAGTATGTTTTGCACAGGATGGCGGGGGGTGGTGGCGATGCTAGCTCGGCTTGGGTGTCATGAGTTCATAACTCGGATGGGCGATTGGGCATAATCTTACGTAGCTTGGAATTCGAAGAGAGGGTGGGATAATCCGGGGTGGTGGGTGGGACAGATGCTACTCCCTTTTTTTGAAGGGAGCAGTACTTGTTTTGCATCCTATGTTGTGCTATCATGTGGCGGAATGTCCGTGGTGCAACATAGGTTGTGCGCAATATGCGATTTGCGACCGGCTTGGTGCAGTCTGCGTATTGCAAGCGGTGTTGTGCAATAAGTGTGGTGCAATCCAGGCGGTGCAACCGACAGGGTGTATTCTATGCATTGCAATCGATGTTGTGCAATATGTATTGTGCGAGTTTTGTGGGACATCTACGTGATGAAATCTAGGATGGCCGATGTCTGTTGCGCAGCGACGTGGTGCAATTTATTTTGTGTATATATGTGTATGTATGTATGTATGTATGTATGTATGTACATATATGTTTATATATATACACATGTATATATACATACACATACACATATAATATGTACTCATATGTGTAGGTATGTATGTATATATATACAGATTCATATAATTGCACATTCTGTGTTGCGCTGTCTATGTTGGGCAGCCGACGTGGTGCAATCTAATTGGTGCCTGGGGCTTTACAGATGAGTTGACACATTCCGTGCTTTTGGACACATCCCGCCCACCCACCCGCAATTTGGCTTGCAAAGCCCATGCGGCGGCGATTGCGATGAGTGCTTGGCGTTGGCTGGTGCATCTCTGCGGCCGCGCTAGCCCACGCGCGCTCGTGCGCGCAGCGGCCAGCTAGTTCGGCGCGACCGACGCGGCCGCGGTGGCGTTGACCGCTGGGCATTTCCCAGCGGGCACCCCAGTGCAATTCGGTGACTGGCGCGGGCGCAGTAGCATGGAGGCGCCGGCAACGATAGACACGATCCTGAGTGTAGCGATGATGGTGACGATGGTGGCGATGATTGCGGCAATGACAACGGTGGCGCCGATGTTGGTCACTCCCGCCGATGACGATGACGATGTCCTCGTGTCGGTGATGCGGCTCTTGAAGCAGTTCGGCATGCGTGCGAGGCTGACGCGCGCGAGCGGCCTGCGTGGTATTATTTGACGCGGATCGTGCCCCCCCCGGCGCGCGCGGACGGGCGTTCGAATGAGTTCGACATGCGGCGCGGGAAACCCGTTTGGCATAATTTGGTCAACATGTTGAGCAACCAATGTTTGTAGAACGCGCATGGCCGCGAACCCCTTTTTTTGGTTGCGATATGTATGGTTGTTTGTATGTGTGTATGTATGTATGTATGTATGTTTGTACATATGTATATATAGATCGTGATGTCGCAGAACTATATGTTATGATATGTGTTCGGGGCACTCCTTTTTGGATTCTTTACGAAAGCCATGATTTTGACGGGTTGAGGCATGCGCTCGCGACGACGCGCGCGCGTGCAATTCGTCAAATTTTGTGTAAAAGGATTCTTGCGACAAGACTCGCGCAAAAGGCGTTCGAACGATCTCTTGCGCGCGCGAAAGGCCCGTGTGGATAAATTCGAACGAAACGATGGACGTTTATGATTTTTGTGAGAACTCGCAAAAGCGTGAGCGCAGTTCTTATTGTCGTGTGTACATCTGTATGTTGGTGTATATATGTATGCAGGTGTGTAGGTGTGTGTATATATATATATGTATATATGCACGTATACACACATACACATGTATGTATGTATGTATGTATGCCTGTTTGTGTGCATGAACATACATATACATATATATGTATATATATACATATATATATACATATACATGTAAGTAAACCGTTGTCGCGAAACCGTGTGTTTTAGATCAGTTGTGGTTTCGATTTTGTAGTCTTTACGAACCCTTTTGGTTTTTAAAAAAATCGGCATGCTTGCGCGACGGCGTGCACGTGCGCATTTTGTTTTTTGCAAGGGAATTTGTTGGGAGGGGTTAGTTTGTTATCGACGAGTGCGCGTGCATCGTGATTTCAGCAGAGGATGACGCGGGAGGCTGAATTCCCGCTTGCTTGGGATGGTACGAGCTCATATTTAGGATGGGCGCTCGAACAGAATCCCTTGTACATTGCAATGCGATTTTGGTGAACTGTTAAGTCCAGGGGGGGGGGGGAGGTAGATCATATTCATTTTTTGAAACGAAGTATTATTTCGTACAGAGGAAAGAGACGAATCTATGTGGTGCGCAATCTATGTTGTGCAAGCTAGGAGGCGACGGGGCGGCGACGGTGGCCACATAGCCGCCAGAACGACCGTCAGGCACCGGACGACGGGCGGCGACGGGGCGGCGACAACGGGCAGATAGCCGCCAAACTGGCCCTCAGGCCCAGCTCCCTAAGTGCAAGCACTACTGGGGAAAAGAGCGTGAACATGAGCTTTCGGAGTCTGCGCCGATTCCTTGGATTTCGCGGTGCGCGCCAGGGCCGTCGGTGGCAAGCGCCGCCAGGAGGCTACAGCCTCGCCGCACAGGTGGAGCAGGAGGAAAGGTGAACGATGGAACAAAGTGAGCCGTCTTCACCGACACTGGCGCGTAAGCTGCCCGCGTAATGTCGCGCGTGTACGCGCCCTCGTTTCCAATGTGGCCTGCCGCGGCGTCGGGTTGCCATGCCATCTTTTGTAAGACGCCTTTCCGACCGTCGCTCAGGTGGAGGTCGGCCACGAGCAAAAGGGGTGTATGGGGGAGGGGGGAAGGCTTCTCAGAAGCAGCTCTGCTTCTTAAAAGGCGTGGGCCTCATCTGTAGATGTAAGGCCCGCGCCTTCTAAGAAGCAGCCTCCTGCTAAGAAGCAGCCTCTGTCGAAGGAGCAGCCTCCTTCTAAGAAGCAACCTCCTTCTAAGAAGCAGGGGTGCTTCTAACAATCCTTCCTCCCTCCACCTACCCCCCTCTGCGCGCTTCCAAGGAGAAGCCAGAGGCAGCGCGGTGCTGGCCCTCCTTGATCTTCGATCTTCGATCCTCCTCCCCGTTGATTCTCGATCCTCCTCGATCCTCCTTGATCCTCGATCCTCGATCCTCCTCCCCATTGAACTTCGATCCTCCTCGATCCTCCCTCGATTCCTCGATCCCTCGATTCCTCGATCCTCCTTGGTCCTCGATCCTCTCTGATGCTCGATCCTCTCCGATCCTCCTCGCTCCTCCCCGACCCTCGACCCTCGATCCTCCTCCCCCCTGACCCTCGATCCTCCCTCGATCCTCCCCCGATCCTCGATCCTCCTCGATCCTCCCTCGGCCCTCGAGGCGGAGGAAGCGCGGCGCTGGCGCCTGCCCAAGGGCTCCCACGAGGGCGCGAAGTTATTCGCGCTTCGCGCTTCGCGGTCCTCCTTACTTCTCCCCCTCCTCCTCGTCCTCCTTTTCTCCCTGCCGGGGGGGCGGCGCGAGAGCGCGAAGTGATTCGCGCTCCGCGGAGCGCGGAGCGCGAGAGCGCGAAGTTTGGAGCCCTACAGCGGCCCGTGCCTGGCCCGTGCCCGGGCCCGCCCCGTGCCAGGCTTAAGTCGGGCCTGTCCCCCTGCAGGGGGATTTTCGACGAAACATAAAACATACCCAGCACAAATAGTCAAACAATAATCCAAAACTAGTCTGGGGATTATGTTTTGAATACTTTTTGCCCTCTTTGTGGTATTTTTTTATTTTTCGTCGAACATCCCCCTGTAGGGGGACCCGCCCGACATACAGTCAACGCGCCTAGTAAGGACGCGCGCCTTCATCTAGGGTACCCTTGCGTCCTTGCCTCTGCGGCTCGTCCTTCGCGGTTCTCACTGGCCGCCCCCCACCCCAAAAACCCAACTTCGGCCTCCAAGGGTCTTGCGTCCTTACCATACGTTTTCACTGTAATGCCAGGCGAGTCCCTCCTGCAGAGGGAGGCCTGCGTGCGCTACTCCCGCGACGGCGCGGGCGTCCGGGCCGACGTGCACCGGCTGCGCACGGAGAGCCCGCGGGCGGGCACGCAGGAAGGAAGGACGGGGGAGGGGGCGGAGGGGGAGGGGGAGCGCGGAGGAGGGGGAGGGGGAGGAGGAGGAGGACGGGGAGGAGGAGGGGGAGGGGGAGGAGGAGGAGGACGGGAGGAGGAGGAGGAGGGGAGGAGGGCGAGGGGAGGGGGAGGTGAGGGGAGGAGGAGGAGGAGGGGAGGAGGAGGAGCAGGAGGGGGAGGAGGAGGAGGCGGAGGAGGAGGAGGAGGAGGAGGAGGAGGAGGAGGAGGAGGAGGAGGAGGAGGAGGAGGAGGAGGAGGAGGATGAACGGGCGGGCAGGAGGGATGAGGGAGATCGGGAGCCTTGAGGCTCATTGGAGGGACAAGTATCCATACCGCTTCCCTGGCCCCGTTTTTTTAGGTTCTTTGTTTTTCGGATTCCTGGGAGGCTCTCCTCGCCACCGCTGGGTGCGCTCGAAGTTCTAGTCAGAATACACCCTGGGAGAGGTACGTGGAGCAGCGGAATCGGTACCTTTTCGTGAAGGAAGACACCAGCTGGAGTTCTCGAGAATATCATTGTGGTCTTCCATTGCCATCTCGCTGGCGCCAGAGATCGACGAGGGGCGGGCAGGAGGTGGGAGGGAGGTCGGGAGCCTCGAGACGGGGGTCAATGCAAACCGGGACTAGCCAGAGCGCCGCATCGTGCAGGATCCTGACGGGCCAGGCTTGCATTTACCCAGGTCAGCGCGCAGCACCCTGTAGGATCCTGCATGATCTTGCAGGATCCTGCAATGCCTGACTGACCCGGGTTTGCACTGACCCAGGTCAGTAGATCAACGAGGAGAGGATGGATGGGGGTTCTCAGATGTTCGTTTCGGGGACCGTGCTGGGGCCCACCTGACGGATCTAGTCGTCCCGAGTCTGACGCGGGGTCGACGCACGTGGGCCCAGATGGGCTCCGCATTGCCAATGCGTCGGCGATGCGGACCTCAAGAGGTTCAGCGTTTTTCGTCGCTTTGGGGCCTTTCTGAGTCTCCTGGGGCGCTCTCGCGGCCACGGCCAGATGTGCCTCGGTATCCTGGCCCTAACGCACCCTGGACAGTTCAGGGGCCTGATTTGCAACGCCCACGCCAAGACCCCCAGCGCATTGAAACTACAAACCAGCGCGGATTTGTTTATTAGTTTCCGGCCCTTGGGGACAGCTCTTTGGCCACGGGGCCGTCGATGAATACGGTTCGGATGGAAAGGCGAGCCTGGGCAGACGCGAACCCCGTGTTGAGAGAAATCAGCACGTGGGATCGACCCGGACCTCCTCGGACCGCCATCCCATCCCGGGGCTCCCGACCCGATCCCTGGGGCCGTGTTCCGCCTTGGTCAGTGCTTTTTCATAGTTCCTTTTGCCTGGTGGCGCAGCGCAATACATTGTCTTGACGTAGGAGCGGGTTCCGCAGCAGTCAGTTTCTTCAAGAAGACCGCCTGGTGGTGCGTACGCACGCGAGCCAGAAAAAAAAGACACGTGGGATCGATGGGTTCTCCCATCTCCCAAGACTCCCTCGCGTCTTGCACGAGGGCACCCTTGCGGCAGGCTGCCCCAAACAGTCCTGCACGGGGCCACGAAGTTGGCCACACCGGGGGGCCACCGTGGGCCACAGATCTTTCGGGAGCCCGGGCCCCCTCACTGGGCGTTGGTTTCGCACGCCGCGTAGGGGCCAACACACGCCCGCCCGCAGTATATCTCCCAGACTCTGGCCCGAATTTTCTTGTCCAGTTGAAGATCCCACAGCGTCGGGGAGTGGAGGCCGCCTTGCCCCCGTCAGTCTCCCCCCCTGGGCGCCCTCGCGTCTTTCAGAGGTACATCTGCTCCACATCCTTCAATAAGCACCCCCCCTGTGCGAACCTGTCCGACGCCCCTTGCCCGCCCCCCCACGCGCCCCAAACCCACCCCCCCTCTCGCTCCCCAACCTGCCCATGCCCCCCGAAGGACAGCGGTTTCCCACCCCCCCATGCGATGCCCCTCCCCCCGCGCTTATTGAGAGACTTGGAGTAGCAATCGACGCTGGCTTTCATGACGTACTCAGGAGACATGGGGGAGGGAGAGGAAGAGGTGACTCCATGAAATGTTGCCAATTCTTGGACGTCCGGGAATTGATATATATATATATATATATATATATATATATATATAGAGTTATGTGTGTCTGCCTGGGCCCCTCTGGTCTCGAGCCGCCAGAACATCCTCGGGACGTTCTCGGCCGCTTGCGAGGGGCCGCGCCGCTCCGAGCAGCTCGGGTCTGCCCTCGACCCGGCGGTGAACCCCGTGTCGCGCCTCGCGGGGCGCGATGCGCGAAGTTCAGCGGCCCGGGTCTTCGAGCATTAGGGCGACCCCATAAGCGCTGTACCCGAACATTGACCTGCTCGCCGGGTCCACGAGACATGCGTGTACCGTGCTCGTGGAGTCCAATTTTGGGGCTCATCGATTCTGTAGTCGATCTCCTGCCCGGGTTCGTCAAGAGCAGAGCGCCTGGCGGGAGGCCCTGGGCAGGGGTCCGGAGTGGCCGTGCCGCCCCCGTGCCGCTCGGGTTTGCCTCTGCCCCCCACACCCCCCAGTCCTTTCTGTGGTCACCAGTCTCGAGCTTATCCCTATCCCTAAGATGGACACGCCAAAAGGCGATGACAATCCCAGGGATGCCCCCTGAAAAACCAAGGGAATCCCTAAGATTGGCATCGCGAGGAGGCGATGCCCAGCTCAGGGATAGGGAGATGCTCCAGGCTGTTAATGTGGGAGCAGGAAGCGCACCACTGCCACCCTTGACCACATTCTGGCCTCCATCCTCCAGGGTGGTGGTGGTGGTGGTGGTGGTGCGTGCCCTTCTCCCTGCCTTTGTGGCTCGTGAATGCGACAGGGCCTTTTTTTGGGCCCGCTTTCGGTCTTGACGCTTTTGTTCCCAGGACTTGGCGCTGCTGTTTTCCCAGTTCCGTCGCCGTTTTTTGTTTGCTTGTTCTAGTTCTGGCCACCTGGTCAGTCCCGCTGCAGTTTTTTTAACATATAGTCAGGAGCTTGCTAGGGGATCTTCGGGTTGACGCATGCCACAGCACGGCTGGCGACGCAGAGCTCGCTGCCCGCACGCGATCGGCACTCCTTGTCGGCTCGGTCGGTCTGCTCTGGAGCCAGGCGGCCCGGTGGCACTCCGCCCACCTCGCGCCCGAGGCCGCCGGGGCCGTGGGCCGGGCGGGGCCCAGGCGCGAGGGCTGCCTCCGACTGGGGCTGGGCGGCCCGGCAGGCCCTCGCCGGCCTCCTCGGCTCTCTAGCGGCCCTCGCGTGGGAGAGCACCGCGTGGGAGGCGGCTCCTCCTCCTCCTCCTCCTCCTCCTCCTCCTCCTCCTCCACAATTGCTCAATATGAATACTACTCTCCTCCTTCCCCTGATGACGGGTTGGGAGTGTTCGCCCCCCCCCGCCCGCGTTTTTTTTTTTTCTTTTTTTTTTTGTTACACTGGATTCCCCGGAGTTGGGTTTTCGCCTGCATTTGTTTTCAAAATGCTGCTCTCGCTGAGGCGCCGGCCTCACTTTCGGGCCCCGCTCGTTCCGAATCGTGCTCCCGCTGTAGCGCTGGCCTCATTTCCGTGCTTCCGCTCGTTCCGAATCGTGCTCCCGCTGCAGCGCTGGCCTCATTTCTGCGCTTCCGCTCGTTCCGAATCTTGCTCCCGCTGCAGCGCTGGCGTCATTTCCAGTGCCATGCCACGGCATGCAATGCAATGCTAGGTTGCGGTCCGCTGCGCGATGCCATGCCTTCAGCTGAAGCTGTGATATGCAGTGCTTAAGTGCCACGTCGTGCTATGCCATGCTACGGTTTGATCTTCAACGCCATGCTATGCAATGTTATGTTCGGGGCCGCTGTGCGATGCCATGCTTTGCGTTGCAAAGCTTTGTGATGCAATTCTTCACTACGCCACGCCACGCCATGCTGTGACATACTACGCTTTGCGGTGCTCTTCTACGCCATGCCGTGCCGTGCTCTACAATGCATCGCGTACCCTTTCGGGATCATTGCCCTGCTCGACATCCGACTGTGCGAGTAGAGAGGGGATCTACGCCAGGGTAAGGGATGGGAGGGAGGAGCATGATGTTAGATATGACGCGAGCGCACCTAGCTTATCCTCCTCCTCCTCCTCCTCCTCCTCCTCCTCCTCCTCCTCCTCTCTGTGCGGGGCGTGCTGCGCGGCCTCGCGGCTGTCCCGCGCGGCTCGGGGCGGGCCGAGGGGGGAGGCCGCCGCGGGCTCTCGCCGCGGCCTCCCAGCGCTCGGTGAGGGCGCGCCGGGGGCGGTGGTGCGGGCGGGGGGCCGTGGCCGTGGGCTCGGCAGCCCCAGCTTTCTTCGATCTGTCTGCGATCCATCGCCGACTCGAGCTCGGCGCTGCCCCCCCTGCGCCGGTCCTCTCTGAGAGGCTGCCGTGCCTTGCAAGTCGCCCCGGAGGGGCTGCGCCGAGACGTGGTTTCGACTGGACGTAAGAGTGACCTTTCGCCGGAGTGACCTCTGGTGCGGGCGCAGGTGGGTCCCCAGGTGGCCGAAAACGTAGCGGCAGCAGTTGCTTGCGCGCCCAGGTTTGGTCCCCCCCCGCGGCCCCAAAAAAGTCGCGCACCAAAGGTCACTCTTGCCCAGGGTCACTCTTGCGTATAGCCGATTTCTGCACAAGCGAAATTCGGAGAACAACAAGTGGCACAAACATGAAAACTCGGAGGTCCGCGCGGATTTCTCGGATCGGCGCTGGACCCCCTCTTTGGCGCGCGGAGCGCGCCAGAGCGCGACAGGGGCGGCGCTGGAGGCGCCGCCGGGGGGGCCCCAGCGCCGATCCGAGAAATCCGCGCGGACCTCCGAGTTTTGATGTTTATGTCACTTTTTGTTCCCCTAGAAATGGTCACGGAAAGACTGGGTACAATGCCCAACAGCGGATTTGGTTCATTCTGAGCTGGGCTCGCGGTCCACGCCGCCGCGGCCTGTGTCCATTCGAGACAGAGGGCCGCCTGCCCAACAGCGGCCGCTGTTGCTTTGGGGCAACATTTGTTGTTGGGCATTGTACCCATTCTTTCCGTACCCATTTCGGGCGTCCAAAATGTTGGGTCCTGGTGTCGCGTGGTGGCGAGTGGGACGAGGTGCTCATCTTTCGGCCAGGTGCAGGGGAAGGACTATACAGGCTCGGCCTGACCACCGACAGGATAGAAACCAACTTCGTGTGGATGCTGGTGCGGCTGCTTCCAGGGTGCCTTCCGAGCCGCCGTCGCGTCTGGCGGAGGGGCTGTGGCGTACTTTGCGAGGGGTCGTGGCGTCGGCAGCGCGAACATGGTGTATTTTGCAGGGGATCGTGGCTTCGGGGATGCGAGCGTGGTGCAATGTACAAGGGATCGTGGCCTCGGGGGCGCGAGTTTGGCGCAGTGTAGGAAGGATCGTTGCCTCGGGGGCGCCAATGTGGCGTCATTTATTCGGGATCGTGGCCTCGGGGGCGCGAGTTTGGCAAGGTGTAGGAAGGATCGTTGCCTCGGGGGCGCCAATGTGGCGTCATTTATTCGGGATCGTGGCCTCGGGGACGCGAGTATGGTTAAGTCGGGCCTGTCCCCCTACAGGGGGATTTTCAACGAAAAATAAAAAGTGCACCAAAAGTAGGAAAAAATAATCCAAAAAAGACCAGGGGATTATTTTTTGAATATTATTTGACCTTTTTGGTGTATTTTTTGTGTATTTTTGGGGTATTTTGCTTTTTCGTCGAACACCCCCCTGTAGGGGACAGGCCTGACATAACAGGATGGTGTAATTTACCAGGGGTGCGTGGCTTCGGGGCGCGACCTGGGAGACTTCTTGCGAGGGGTATCGTGGCCTCGGTGGCGCGAACGTGGCGCAATTTACACAGAGGGGTCGTGGCCTCAGGAGCGCGACTGTGGCGCATACTGCAGGGGACCGCGGCTTCGAGGGCGCACAGCCTGTGTATTTTGACGTGTCCAGGGTCCCCCCCCAAGAAATCTTGAGAACCCCCCCGAGTCAGGGTACCCGGGGCCCTTTTCGCCCCCCCCCCCTCCCCCCTCCTCCCTCGCGCGGGCAGTAACAAAGTGACAGCGGAAGGCAGAAAGCAATACTGTGACATTGGAAGCTGGAAACTGGAACTGGTGCAGGGAGCAGCAAGCCTCAGCCTCGCAGCCTCGTGGCCCCGCAAGGGGGCTGGCGGATTTTTGTAATCTTGGGCCCTGCGACTCCCCCCCTAAACTGGACCCCTCCAGATCCTTGGCCCCGGGGGCACCGTGGACGCCCTCTCAGACGGTCCACTGTGCCTTCTGGGGCTCCTGGAGCCTCTGCTGGGCCTAGGCAGCGGGCCCCAATCGGTCAGGAGGGCGGTTTGACGGCCCCGCGAGGGCCCACAGAGGTTCCAGACACCCACCAGAGTCCCGAGGACGACCGAAAGAAGTTCTCCAAGAGGCATTTCAACCGCAACATAAACGTGGATTTCCGATGTTTGCATGATTTTGGGAAAGCTCACCTCCCTTCTCCTTCCTCCTTCCTCCTCCTCCTCCTCCTGCTCCTTCTCCTCCTCCTCTCAGTTCTTCGGGCTTTCCGGCGTCCGAGACTTCCCAGGAGGCGCTTCCTGGCAGTCCAGGAGGAGCCTCAAGACGGCCCAGCAGGGCCAAACGATGGCCCGAAGAGAGCCCCATGACGGCCCAGGATGGCCTCAAGACGCTTCTCGAATCATTCCAAATCGTGCCCCGGTTGTTCAGGGAAACTGTCGTTGGAAGCAAAGTGGCTTGGGGAAGCCCCCAGAGGCCCCCAAAAGGAACCCGTGAGGCTTCCAGAAGGCTCCAGCTAGCTAAAACAAATGTCGGGAGGTTTACAAGAGGCTCTCCTAGGATGAGCCTCCACAAAAGAGCTGAGGGTTGGGACACATTCGTAGGGCAGGGCGGGAATGAGGAAGAGGACAAGGAAACATGAGGGAATGATCATGAATACCATGTATTTTGACGACGATGCCAGAACAATAAGGCAGCAACGAGTTATCGCTAAGTGCCCCGTTTTACCTTCTTGCCCTCCTGCCTGCATGCCAGACCTCAAGGATCAAAGTGCATGGCGCGAAGCGCCAATGCAGTCTTGTGTGTATATTTGTACACATATACATGATGTTTAGGCGAGCCGCTTTTTGATGGCTGCGCAACAGTAATTTTCATTCTCAAGATCCAGTGTTTTTGAATGACATGGAAAGAACCCTGCCGTTCCAATAACACTGAGCCCCAGACCGCCGACATAGCTTTTTCTCACCACGCACTTTTTTGTCTGATCCCGAGCCGCTTTTCCCAACTAGCGTTTCGCTGAGGAGATTGGGAGCCCGAGACTGCGGCGGTTCGGTGGCGGTTTTGCTTGAGACCGTCTGTCAATATATTTAGGAATCCTGCTCTCGCCTCTACGCTGGCTGCATGTTTTGGTCGGGACGGCCACGATCCCTGGCACAACATAGACTCAGGTGCACATGGCAGTGCTCTCACCCTTGTTTCGGCTGTATTTCCCCCCACGCAGAACTGAACAACACCCTACCGCCATTCGGTCGTTTTCTAGGACCTCGAGCAATCCAGGAATGCGCGTTTTCACCCACCGACATCCTACTCCTCGATCCGCCTCTTCACCTTTGCTGCAATTAGGCTGCTTTGCTGGGGCCTTGTATCACGACGCTGGCATGTCTGGGTTGGCCCTCGCCGCCCCCGGCCGCGCGACAGCGAAGGAACTCAACCTGGCGCCGCCGGGTGGCGCCCCGTGCGCGAGCCTGGCGGTGACGGAGGACGCCGCGTGCCCCCGAGGAGGGCGAAGACCGAGGACGAGGCGATGGAAGACGGGGGAAGAGGAGGAGGAGGAAGGAACAGGAGGAGGAGAAGGAGGAGGAGAAGGAGGAGGAGAAGGAGGAGGAGAAGGAAGAGGATGAGGAGGAGGAGGGGATGAGGAGGAGGAGGCGGAGGAGGAGGAGGAGGAGGAGGACGAGGACGAGGACGAAGACGACGACAAGGAGGAGGGGAGGAGTAGGAGGAGTGGAGGAGGAGGAGGCGGGGGAGGAGGAGGAGGGGAGAGGAGGAGGAGGAGGAGAGAAAGCGGAGGAGGAGGAGAAGGAGGGGGAGGAGGAAGAGGAGGAGGAGGAGGAGGAAGCTGAGGAGGAGGAGGCGGAGGAGGAGAAGGAGAGATGGAAGCGGACGAGGAGGCGGAGGAGGCGTAGGAGGAGCATGAGGAGGATGAGGAGGATGAGGATGAGGATGAGGATGATGAGGAGGATGCTGATGAGACGCAGGCGGAGAAGGAGGAGGAGAAGGAGGCGGGGTGGAGGCAGAGGAGGAGGAGTAGGAGGAGGAGGTCGAGGAGGAGGAGGAGGCGGAGGAGATGTGGTGGACGAGGAGGAGGAGGAGGAGGAAGAGGAGGAGGAGGAGGAGGAGGAGGAGGAGGATAAGGAAGATGGGGGAGGAGGACTAGAATGAGGAGAAGGAGGAGGCGGAGGAGAAGGCGGATGATGGTGATGATGATGCTGCTGATCTTGATGAGGAGGAGGGTGATGATGACGATGATGAAACTGATGATGATGCTGATGCTGATGGTGTTGATGCTGATTAGCATGATGATACTGATGCTGATGCTGATGCTGATGATGCTGATGATGCTGATGCTGATGCTGCTGATGATGATGTGGAGGATGATGCTGCTGATGATGATGATTATGATGATGACGATGCTGATGATGCTGATGATGCTGATGCTGATGATGATGACGATGCTGATGCCGATGATGATGCTGATGAGGATGAAGACGATGAAGCTGACGATGACGATTAAGACGATGCTGATGATGATGCTGATGCTGATAATGCTGATGATGGTGACGCTGATGATGCTGATGATGATTATGATGGTGATGATGGTGCCGATGATGCTGATCTTGAGGAGGAGGCGGGGGAGGAAGAGGAGGTGGAGGAGGCGGTGGAGGAGGGAGGAGGAGGATGACGAGGAAGATGAGGATGAGGATTATAGTGAGAAGGATGATGATGATGAGGATACGGATGAGGATGATGATGAGGATGATGATGATGATGCTGATGCTGAAGCTGATGCTGATGCTGATGCGGAGGCTGATGCCGATGCTGGTAATGATGCTGCTACTGCTGATGATGATGATGGTGATGATGATGCTGATGTTGATGCTGCTGACGACTTCGATGACGACGACGATGATGATGATGACGATGATGACGATGATGATGGTGCTGATGATGATGATGCTGAGGCTGATGATGATGACGATGCTGACGATGATGGCGATGTTGATGATGCTGATGATGACTATGGCGATCACGATGATGCCGATGCTGCTGATGCTGATGATGATGATGATGTTGATACTGCTGATTCTGCTTATGATGATGCTCACGATGCTGCTGCTGATGATGACGATGATGATGCTGATGATGATGCTGACGATGGTGATGCTGATGCTGACGATGGTGCTGATGCTGCTGCTGAAACTGATGCTGATGATGATGACGCTGATGCTGATGCGGATGAGGCTTATGATGATGCCGACGATGATGCTGATGCTGATGCTGATGCTGATGATGAGGACGCTGATGATGATGATGATGATGATGATGATGATGATGCTGCTGCTGATGATGATGTTGGTGCTGATGATGCTGATGACGGTGCTGATGCTGCTGCTGAAATTGATGCTGATGATTGTGATGCTGCTGAGGATGAGGATTCTGTTTATGATGATGCTGATTATGATGCATTTGCTGATGATGATGCTGCCGATGACGCTGGTGATGCTGATTATGCTGATGATGCTGATGCTGGTGCTGATGAGGATGATGAAGATGCTGATGCTAATGCTGACGATGATGGTGCTGATGATGATGCTGATGATGACGACGATGATGCTGGTGATGCTGATGATGCTGATGATGATGATGATTATGATGATGATGATGATGATGATGATGATGATGATGATGATGATGATGCTAATGGCGCTGATGATATGGATGGTGATGCTGATGATGATGCTGCTGATGATGATGCTGTTGATGCTGATGCTGTCGCTGCTGCTGCTGATGATGATGATGCTGATGATGATGATGCTGATCATGATGTTGATGATGATGCTGAGGACGGTGATGCTGCTGATGATGGAGGATGCGGACGGAGGAGGAGGAGGTCGAGCAGGAGGGGGAGGAGGAGGAGAGGGAGGAGGTGGAGGAGGAGTCATGATGATGGTGATGCTGATGCTGCTGATGATGCTGATGATGGTGACGATACTGATGATGATGATGCTGATGATGCTGATGATGATGCTGATGATGATGATTATGATGATGATGTTGATGATGATGATGATGATGATGAGCATGATGATGGTGATTTTGATGATGAGGATTATGATGCTGATGATGATGATGCGGATGCTGATGATGCTGCTGATGATGAAGGTGATGCTGCTGATGATGATGCTGGTTGTGCTGCTGCTGATGATGATAGTGTCGATGCGGATGATGACGACGCTGATCATGCTGATGATGCTGCTGATGCTGATGCTTACGATTTGGATGCTGCTGATGATGATGAGGATGTCGATGCTGATGCTGATGCTGATGATGCTGCTGGTGCTGGGGCTCAGCATGATGACTATAATTATGATGTTGTTGATGATGCTGCTGATGATCATGATGATGCTGTTAATGATGCTGATGCTGATGATGCTGCTGATGTTGAGGATGGTGGTGATGATGACGATTCTGATGATGATGACGATGCTGCTGATGGCAGGGATGCTGGTGTTGCTTCTGCTGCTGATGACGATAATGGTGGTGATGATGATACGACTGATGCTGATGATGCAGATGGTGCTGATGATGCTGATGCTCATGATGCTGCTGATTATGATGATGCTGATGATGCTGATGATGCTGCTGCTGGTGATGCTGATGATGCTGATGATAATGCTGATGCTGCTGATGATGATGATGATGCGGCTGCTGCTGCTCATGATGATGATGCTGACGATGCTGATGATGATGCGGATGCTGATGATGATGATGACGATGATGCTGATGATGATGATGATGATGATGATGATGATGATGATGATGCTGATAATGATGCTGATGATGCTGATGATACTGCTGATGATGATGCTGCTGCTGATGCTGCTGTTGATGATGATGCTGCTATGATGATGCTGATGATGATGATGCTGATGATGATGATGATGCTGATGATGATGATGATGATGATGATGATGATGCTGCTGATGCTGATGCTGCTGATGCTGGTGATGACGATGGTGATGATGATGCTGATGATGCTGATGGTGCTGACGACGGTGCTGACGACGATGCTGATGAAGAGGAGGCGGCGGAGGAGGAGGAGGAGGGCGATGGTGATGATGATGATGATGATGATGATGATGCTGATGCTGATGATGCTGCTGATGATGCTGATGATGCTGATGATGATAATGATGATGAAACTGATTATGATGATGATGATGATGATGATGATGATGATGATGATGATGATGATGATGATGACGATGATGATGATGATGATGATGATGATGATGATGATGATGATGATGATGATGCTGATGCTGATGCTGATGCTGATGCTGATGCTGATGCTGATGTTGCTGATGCTGAGGAGGAGGAGGTGGTGGTGCAGGAGGAGGTGGCGGCGGAGGCGGAGGCGGAGGCGGAGGAGGAGGAGGAGGAGGAGGAGCCGGAGAAGGAGAAGGAGGAGGAGGAGGAGGAGGAGGAGGAGGAGGAGGAGGAGGACGCCGAAGAGGCGATGAGGCGGAGGATGAGGATGCTGTCGAGGAGGAGGAGGAATGAGGAGAGGAGGAAGAGGAGGATGATGAGTGGACGGAGGATCCGGGGGTGAAGAGTAGGAGGAGGAGGGATGAGGAGGAGAGGAGGATGAGCGTGAGGAGGAGGAAGAAGCATGGCGAGGACGAGGTCGAGGTCGAGGAGGAGGAGGAGGAGGGAGGAGGAGGAGGAGAGGAGGAGGAGGAGACTGAGAAGGAGGATACGGCGGTGGGGGGGACGGGAGAATGAGGAGATGAGGAAGGAGCGGGAGGATGAGGCGGAGGAGGAGGAGGAGGAGGAGGAGGAGGGGGATGAGGAGGAGGCGGAGGCGGAGAAGACGGATGAGGGCGTGTACGAGGACGAGGACGGCGTCGTCGATGAGGGGGGGAGGAGGGAGAATGAGGAGGACGAGGAGGAGAAGGCGGGGGCGGAGGAAGAGGAGGAGGAGGACGCGGAGCTGGAGTTTGATGATGAGGTGGAGGAGGAACAGGACGATGAGGAGGAATAGGAGGAGGAGACGGAGGAGGATGAGGACGAGGAGGACGGGTGGATGCATCGGACAAGGAGGAGGATGCGGCGGCGGAGTAGTAGGACGAGGATGGAGATGATTTAGAGGACGAGGATGAGGATGCTGATGCTGCTGATGATGATATTGCTGCTGATTATGACGATGCTGATGATGAGGGGGAGGAGGAGGAGGATGAAGAGGAGGCGGAGGAGAATGATGAGGCGGTGGAGCAGTAGGCAGATGAGACCGCGGAGGAGGAGGACGAGGCGGAGGAGGAGGCGGAGGAGGAGGAAGAGGAGGAGGAGGAGGAGGAGGACGAGGGGGAATGAGGCGGAGGAGGAGGAGGAGCGGATCAGAGGCTGTGGCGGAGGATGGTGGGTGGGATGAGGAGGAGGAGGCAAGAGGAGATAGGAGAGGATAATGAGGAGGAGGGCGAGCGGGGAGGCGGAATGAGGCTCGAGAAGAGGAGGAGGACGCGGAGGGGCCGGAGGAGGACGACGTCGAGGAGAATGGGGAGGAGGGGGAAGATGAGATGAGAGAGGGTGAGGAGGAGGAGAGGAGGATGAGGAGGAGGATGTAGGAGGAGAGGAGGATAAGCGAGGAACGAGGGGGAGGAGAGAGAGGAGGAGGAGGAGAGGAGGAGGATGAGGATGAGGAGGAGAGGACGAGGAGGAGCGGAGGAGGGGAGGAGGAGGATGAGGAGGAGAGGAGGAGGAGGAGGAGGAGGAGAGGGAGGGGACGAAGGAGGAGGATGATTGATGAAGGAGGCGGAGGCGGAGCCGGAGGAGGAGGACGAGGAGGAGATGCAGAGGAGAGTGAGCACGGCGAATGCACCCGGAGCGCCCGTTGTGATCGAGGAGGATGAGTAGGGGCGGAGAGGAGGACCATAGAATGTACGTAGTGAGCTGCGGAGCATAGAGAGGAGCGGGGAGGGGAAGGAGTAGGGATGAGAAGCAGGCGGAGGAGGATGAGGACGAAGGATAGGAGGTCGGTGGGAGAGGAGGGAGAACGAGAGGATTTGGAGGAGGACGGAGGTATGGGGGGGAGGTGGTGGAGGAGGGAATCGTGATGAGGTGTGATGAGGGTGAAGGATTCGGGCGAAGTTTGATAGAGGATAGGCGGAGGGAGAGGAGGAGGAGGCGGAGAGGAGGAGGAGGACGACGGAGGAGGATGAGGATGAGGAGGAGGAGAGGGGCGGCGGAGGCGAGGAGGAAGAGGCAGAGGAGTATGCAGGATGAAGCACGAGGACGAGGAGGACGGAGGATGAAGGGATGATGAGGGGGAGGGGGAGCATGCGGAGGCGAGGAGGAGGAACAAGAGGAGGAGGATGGGGGACGAGGAGGAGGAGGCGGAGGAGGATGCGGACGCGTAGGAGGGGAAGTCGGATGATGCTGCTGATGATGTTGAGGATGATGAGGAAAAGGAGGCGGAGGAGGAGGAGGGAGGAGGAGTTGAGTCGGATGGGGCGGGGATGGTGAAGGGAGGAGGATGATTCTGGCGGAAGTAGAGGAGGAGGAGGCGAGGGAGAGGATGAGGTTGAATGAGGAGATGAGGAGGAGGAGTAGGTGGAGGAGGAGGAGGAGAGGAGCCAGGAGGAGGTGGAGGAGGACGAGGTGGAGGAGGAGGTGGGAGGAGGACGACGAGTGGAGGAGGAGGAGGAGGACGATGAACGGAGGAATCAAGAGGAGGAGGAGGAGGAGGACGAGGAGAAAGAGGAGGAGGCGGAGGAGGAGGAGGAGGAGGAGGAAGCGTATGAGGGGACGTCGGAGGATGCTGATGATGATGAGGAGGAGGAAGACGAGGAGGAGCAGGAGGAGGAGGAAAAGGAGAAGGAGGCGGGGGAGGAGGAGGAGGAGGCGGAGGCGGTGGCGGAGGCTGGGGCGGAACAGTAGGAGGAGGAGGTGGATGAGGAGGGGGACGAGGAGGAGGAGGAGGAGGATGAGGAGCAGGAGAAGGGGGAGGCGGAGGGGGGTTGAGGAAACGGGGGACGAGGCGAGGAGCAGGACGGCGGCCACGCCGACGACAATGCCGACACACGGCGGTTGCGGTGATGGCGGCGACGACGTCACATTGATCGATCTTGTGTATGACGGCCCAGGTACACAAAGGAGGTCGGGGTCTCCTGCGGTACGGATCCCGAGCCCATGCGCGAGACCAGCGGGGTGAAGGCGCGACGAGACTGATGAGGATACTGGGGGTGGGGGGATGTTGCGGAGAAGGAGGCGGGACGTGGGGTGATTCTTGTCAACGGGGATGATGATGGTGGTGATGGTGATGATGATGCTGATGATGATGCTGATGCTGATGATGATGATGACGATGCTGCTGATGATGCTGATGATGACGATGATGATGATGATGTTGATGCTGATGCTGTTGCTGATGCTGATGATGATGATGCTGATGCTGATGCTGATGATGCTGATGCTGATGATGCTGCTGATGACGATGATGATGATGATGATGATGATGCTGATGATGCTGGTGATGATGATGCTGATGATGATGATGCTGGTGCTGCTGATGATGATGATGCTGATGCTGATGATGATGACGATGTTGATGATGATAATGCTGCTGCCGATGATGCTGATGACGATGATGCAGCTGAGGATGATGATGCTGATGCTGTTGATGATGATGCTGCTGATGATGCTGTTGATGATGATGATGCTGATGCTGCTGATGCTGCTGATGATGATGATGATGATGATGATGCTGATGCTGATGATGACGATGATGATGATGCTGATGAGTATGAGTATGATGATGATGATGATGATGATGATGATGATGATGATGATGATGGTGGTGGTGGTGGTGGTGGTGGTGGTGGTGGTGGTGATGATGATGATGATGATGATGATGAGGAGGAGGAGGAGGAGGAGGAGGAGCAGGAGGAGCAGGAGGAGCAGGAGTAGGATGGAGGAGGAGTAGACATAATAATGGGCGTATGAGGAGGGTGAGGCGGAGGAGGAGGAGGAGAAGGAGACGGAGCAGGATTATGATGAGGAGGAGGAGGTGGAGCAGGAGGTGGAGACAGATGAGCGATGGTGGTAGTGCGTATAGGATGATAATGGCGGTGGTGGTGCGAGGATTGTGACGGTGAAGATGGTGGTTGTGGTGGTGAAGACGGGGATGTGGGATCATGATGATTAGCCGAGCTTGCACGAGCAACCAGTTTCGGTCGCTTCGAGATGCTGGAGTCGACGCTTCGAGATCCAGGGCAACCTACGTAGACACCATGACGCCCATATGTGAATCGGCGCGGCCGCGTCTTCGCCAGCGGTCGTTACATAGGTGTTCGCGTTTCCGCGCCTTGTGGTCCCCAGCAGCACGTTACCGATGTGGTCGGGAGCGCGCTCGGCTAAGCTGCCGTAGCTGCGCATGCGGTCCGACAGCTAGCTCATCGTATTGCTGCTGGGCTCGTGGCATTTGGCCATTCAATGGTTGAAGTAGTTGGCCGGCTCTGCCAGGGCCGAATCTGAGTGCTCTGAAGAGCACGGTGGTGAGTAACTGGAACTTCGGACTAGCAAAGCCTACCGAATCGGCTTGAAGGCGTGCCGTCTCGAATCTGGCGGGGCAGAATCCGTTTTTTCACCTGTTCCGGGCCTGAAGTCGATACGCGCCGTATCTGATATCAGCCGACGTTCGTCCTCCAGGTTTTCAACTTTGGCGCTCAGGAGAAATATGATGTACGTGACAGTGTCAGAATGAACCCCTTGTATATGCAGGTACGCCGTAGTTGATGATCTGTGGTGGGGTTCGCATCGCTATAATGCGTGCTACCCCACCCAGACCGCGTTGCAGGCGCGCGGCCTGTTGTTGTGGAGTCATGCGGGCGCTGGTGACATTAAGCCACGCATGGACTTCACGAGTGAACTCGAGAAACGATTCGTTCCCCGAGGGATCCCAGTAGGGGCCCCGAGTAGTGTTATCGTCTCCGTCGTATTTTACCCCCCTTGCATGTAACCAATAGCACAGCCGATGGCTAACCAAATAATGTCAAAGGTGATGAACTTCAAGTATTGCTTCCATATAGGTTTCGTACCTTAAGTGTATCTGTCGCCGTGAGTCGGCGAATCGGCTGTGGAGGCGTGTCCCCATGCTGGCGCTTCCGCGCAAGGGGAGTTGGTATTTTAGCCTGTTTCAAAGTTCGCTGTAATTCGGAGTGTGATGGTGTAGAGCCGTGGCGTATACGCTTTTCGGTGTAGTCAGGCGGGCGTCGCCCATAGGGGACATAGCGTTCTTGCTATTTGCGCTTCCGCTTGCTAGCCAGTAGTCAAGCTCTGACGTCGCAGTGGTAGTGGCGGCATACCAAGCCGTGCCGTGGAATAACAATACGATATGCAGAGCTGACCACATCTTAGCGAGGCCAGCTCCGTTACCAAGTAAAAAGAAGCGATAGGACTATGGAATGGCATGTGGAATGTGAGAGGGGAATCCAGTTTCCGATGCAATCGTGAGCTGCTGGTCTCCCGAGCAGCCCAAGTAAATAGGACGCCGGCGCTTTGAGCCAGACGCCCGCGGGATGCACGCTACGCTCGGTATTCAAACATCCCAACCCTCTGATCGAGTTTCGGAGTCCGCTGTTTCACCTGGCGCTCCCCTCGGCGGGGGACGGGGAGGGAGGAGGGACGGCATACGCAGGAGGGGGATAACACGCACAAACACAATGAATCGTCGATTCCCTAAGAAGTTTGGGGAGCTATGGGAAGTGGGGGGGGAAGACGAAATGCTGGAACATATGGGAATACACACATATAGGGAATCCGGGGATTTGTGTGCATATCTATATATATATATATACGCATGTGTATATCTTTCTATATATATATATATGTACATATGTGTGTGTGTGTGGGTGTCTGTGCATGTATGTGTCCTTGGGCGCCTTTAGAGACGCAGGTGACAGCTTGCAGAGACCGTCGCTCCATACGATTGCATGGCGTGCCTCGCCAAATGCCTCTGTCCAGCCAGCCGTGACAAGCGTGCTCGCGCTGCTTCGTGTCCAGTCTTTGGTTGCAATTGCAAGCTCAACCCTTTCTCCTCATCCTTCCTCCTCCTGATTCCTTCTTCCTCCCCCTCCCCACTTCCGTCTCCCTGCGTTTTTCTGCTTTGCAGTCATGGGGCGCTCCGTTTTGCAGCTTCACAGTCGCGGTGCGCTTCTCTTCCTACGCAGTGGCAGACGCCAGGTGAGAAGGGGAAAGAGAGGGCATCGCCAACCCGTAGCGCTTCTCATTGGCGGTCGCGGAGCGGGCGGGCGGGCCTGCATTCCCTCCTCCTCCAGAGAAGCGTTCGTGCTCGTCTGGTGCGAAGCGACGCCAACGCACTCTCAGGGGTCGTTCAGACCCGTCATCTCCCCCCCGCCTCATTTATCCCTCCCCCTTCCTTCTCATCCCGCCCACCTGGCCTCCGCCAGCTTCGCTAATCTCGGCCCTTTGCCTTCTCCCGCCCTTCTCCTCTCACCTCCTTCTCCTCCCTCGCCGCCCTTCTCCCCCAGTTCTGCCCGCTCTTGCTCCTCTTCCTCCTCGCCCCTTAGGAGACGCGACCTGCCTGCACTGGAGGCGGAGCCCGTGCGGGCGGTGCGGTCCCCGAGAGCCCCCTTTGGGCCGCCGGGCCTCCGGGAGCAGAGGGAGAGGCCAGGGCTGGACCTAACGATGTTTTGGCGATTTCGTGGACCGTTTTCGTTTCGACCTCGTCTTGCGGGGTAGAGGTGGATTGAGGACAACACGAGGGAAAACGAGAACAAGACGAAAACGAAAAACACCGTTTAGGTTCAGCCCTGGGAGAGGCCGTTCGGGGTCCAGCGGTGCCTTCACACGCCGGAGGCCAGGGCCGGCGCGGGGCCCAGGCCGCAGCCTGCTGCGGAGCAGGGCTGGCGCGGGGCCGAGGCTGCAGCCTGCCGCGGGGCTGGCGGAGCCCTGCGCTTTTTCGCAGCCCGCCGCCTGTGCTTCAGGCCCTCCGCCGTCGAGTGGAGGCAGAGCGTAGTCTCGCAGGCCTAGAGGTTGACACCAACACCAAGATCGGCGGTGTGCCTCCACCGAGGGAAGACGAGCCCGATCTCGGTGATGGTGGTAATATTCTCGCTCCCAAGGTCACCAAAATATTACCACCAACGCCGAGATCTAGGATCATCTTCCCCATGTGGAGGCAACCCCCTGTGCTGGTGTTGATGCCAATTTCCAGGCCTCCAATCGTCGGAGCGAGAGCACCGTGAGACGCCGCACTCGTGGTGCCAGCTGGCCCGGAGGTAGAGAGCATCCCTAGCTTTGCAGGGGTACGCTCCTGTTCTCCGTGTCGGCGCTCTCCGTCTCGAAGTCTGCTTCGTTTTGGGTACCACCTTCTCTACTTCTCCACAGGGCCTTCGGCGATTGGGGCTCGCGTTCTTGACCCACGTTGTCGTGGCCATGTTTCCGACTGCAAGTCTGGGACGTGCCGTCCGGCCCACAGTCCACACGGCTGGGCTCCTGCCGCCTGGCGTGCAGACATCGCTCTGGGACCTGACGGCCTCCAGAGCTGCGCCCGCACCGGATGCCGACCCCGAACGGGGACCCTCCGCAGCCATCTTGGCTCAGGCCCTGGCCCGAGCTCCTCCACAGCGGCCGGAGGGGGCTCCGCCCTGGGCGCGCGGCGCACCCGAGGCTGCCCAGTCGCTGCCCCCCCCCCCCCCAGGGCTGCCACCGAACCGAACGGCGGAGCCGACTATGCTCGGGGGCCCCCAGGCGGTGCGGGTGACCACACCGTGTGGTGAGTCCGCAGGGACTCGGGGTACCCTCACGGCTTTGGGACCGGGGCCGTTCTCCGAGGACGCCTCGGGCGACGGGGGCCCCCAGGGTCCCAGTACCGTGCGGCGACGGGCCGTGCGGGGAGGTCTTTTTGGGGGTCCGAGGTCGTCGCACGGCTCGTCACCACCGCACGGTGCTGTCGGACGGAGCAGGGACGAGGATCAATCCGGTCCAGAGCGTCCCAGAGCGCTTTCAGAGCGTTCCGGAACGCGGGCTCTCAGAGATTCATGATGTGCAGTCGGGGCGCTGAAGAAGAAACCCTTCTCGCTGGGGAGGGGCTCGGTGTTCCTTGACTGTTTCAAAGTTTGCCTAGGGTTTTCCTGAGGTTTTCCATAGGACACCGAGGTTGAACTTCTGGGAGAAAGGGGCCTCGTTCCTTG